ACAACAAGGTTGCCAGTTCGACTCCTGCATGGGATGTTGAACTGCGCCCCCCCAGCAACTAAGACTGAACACAGCACCTTGAGCTGAGCGTGGCCGACCGGCGGCCGGATGGCAACTGGAATTGGAGCTGAGCTAGCTGTTCCCGCCACAACTAAGACTGAAGGAAAACATCTTGGCTGGTCCCCTTCCCCAATTTCCCAACATTGTTCCCCTACCCCAATTCCCCAATAAAATCTTAAAAAAACAAAAACAAAAACAAACAAAAAAACAAAAAAACAGTGGATCTGGACTACAGGAGCCTAAACTACCTTGAATTAGCTCAAGTGACCAGATAGTGTACTGAAAGGGTTTGAGAAATCTCATGGACATGGTGCTCAGGAAATGTAGATGGGCCTCCAGATGCAGGGGTGTGGATAACAACAGTGGTTCTGAGCTATAATTCTCTCTCTCTGGTGGCCCATGATCTCCAACCACTGCTTCCCTCTGCAGATTGTGTCCGGTTTCCCTACGGGGCCAACTCTGGCCCTGACTCAACCTACACTGTAGGCCAAGAGTCTATTACCATAGCCTCTTGATTCTTGATTCCAGCTGAAGGGAGACAATTCTCTTAGCTAGTGGCCAATCAATGGATTGGTTCCTCTAGTTCAGGCATCATCAGCTATTGTGGCAGTGGGGAGAGTCACATGGTAAAAATATGTCCTTCAATAGAGAATGTAGGGTGTGGGTGTGGGAATTTAAAGAAAGGGGAAAGGGCTGGGCAGGCCCTCCAATCATGTCTTCTTCCACTAGTGGGGGTCAGTGGGAACCATCACATCTTTTGAAGAGAAGAACACAGTCAAAGCTGTGATTTTTTAGGCAACTCTCCACCATGTGAAGGAGAGACTGAAGATAAAGGGGAAATTGCCCATATGGACCAAACATCTAGCATGTACCAAGCATTGTGTTAAATGATGTATGAGTATTACTTTATTTAGTTTTCACAAGAGCCCATTTTACTTATGAGGAAACTGAGGCAAAGAGGCTTGGAGATATGAAGTAACTTACCCAAAGTCACACAGTTAGTAAGTGGTAGAATTGGGATTTGAACCTAAAATTGGTCCAGACTTGAAATCTATGCTTTTCCACCACACCAAGCAGGAAAACAGCCTTTCGTGGGTGTCCACAGGTGCCTCACGTGCTACGAGTCCACACCGAGTCTGCCACCTCCTGCCTATTTTCTGTGCCTCCTCCTTGGTCTTTTATCTGTTAATGCTGTCACTATCTACCCAGCCACCCAAGCCCAAATCTCTCTAAATCTCAGTTTCTTTCACTGTGAAAAAGAGACAATAACAATATCTCCCAAAGGTTGTTCTGAGACTTAAATGAGATGATTCTCATGAAGTGCCCAGAAGTGAGCCTGGAGCTTGGCGCATGGTATATGCAGACCTGACAGACAGGGTGATGACTACATGTGGGAGACAGCGGGAGTGTGACTCGGAGTTTTATTTGTCTAATGTATGAGCTGGCAAACTTTTTCTGTAAAAGGCCAGATAGTAAATATCTTCAGCTCTGTGGGTCATACAGCCTCTGTCATAACTACTCAATGTTGCCATTGTAGGGGAAAACCAGCAACAGAAAATAAGTAAGTGAATGGGCACAGCTGTGTTCCAAGAAAGCTTTTTATGCAAAAAAAGCAGGGGCCAATTTGGCCCTTGGCCTGCAGTTTGCTGTCTCCTGGTCTTTGTCCTTGCTCTATCCATGAGGGTGGGGCCATGAGTGCTTAGCTCATAGATTTTTCTCCAGGGTCTAGCACGATGCCTGGCACATAGTAGGTACTCTAGAGACACTTGTGAAAGGGATGATTAAATGAGAAAAGGCAAGTAAGCAGAACAAAGGAATGGCTGAGAAGGGACAGAGCTTTGGGGATCACCCAGGTATCAGTTGCAAGGTTCAGTGGAGGAAATTAAAACCACACAAGGGTTTTTAAGCAAGAGGCCATTTAATATACGGAATTACAAACTTGTTGGAAGGGCTGGAAGAGAGGGCTCTATGCTGGACTTTGGGAATGACTTTCAGAATGTGGCAGAGTTGATCTGCCAGGAGAGCTGCCACCTCTGCCACAATCAGGAAGGTGGAACTCGAGAAGCTGCCCCTGGAACTGTTGACCTCAAGAATCCCATAGCTGCAATACAAGGTTACAAGGTGGCCACAGGCTGGGAACAGCGTGCCACTGCTGCCGCCACCACATCTGCCAGTATGATGGGATGTGGAGCCTAGCCACTGCCACCACTGCTAATGACTCTCGACACCCAGGGAGCTGGAGACTGGACATCAGTGGCTCCAAGCCCTTGTTTTCCAGCACTCAACAGCCCAAAGCTGCAAGAAACTGGCTTCTGTCTTACTTCTCTGCCTTCCTAACTTTGTGCAACTCAGTCCAATTAGAACAGCCTAATTGATACTCATGATCCTAACGTATTTTTTAGCTTCCTCAGCTCTGCAGCATCGGAAGGTATCCAACAGAGACGTGGGCATGGATTCACACCACATTCAGCCCGACCTGTACCCTCTGGGGAACTGTTGCTGCAAAACAAATCATCCCAAACATTAGTGGCTGAAAACCAGTCATTTATTTTGCTCAGAAACTTGAGATTTGGGCAGGGCCTGATGGGGGCAGCTTGTCTCTGTTCCACAGGAGTCATCTGGGGTAGTTCAACTGGTGGCTTCACATAGGCTGTGCCATGTGAGGAAGCCCACGAACCACCTGGGAACCCAAGTGGAGAAGAACCAAAGCCCTCACCAATATCACCAAGAGCCCCAGCTGAGCTTCTGGGCAGAGGCCAGCATCAACTCGCCAGCTATGGGCATGAGTCACTGTGAAAGTGGGTCCGCCAGCCACAGGTGAGCTCCCCAGAGGATGCTGTGTGGAGCGGAGATGTCCCTCATGGGCTCTGCCCAAATCGGAGACTCGTGAGAAATAAATGACTGTTTCTGTATTTGCTGCTAAGTTTTGGGGTGGTTTATTTTGCAGCAAATCACCAGGACAGGCAGGCTGTGCTGAATGTGAAGGAGGGAGGGGAGCAGATGGGACAATCCATAAGAAATGAAGAAGCCAATCCCAGGGAGGGGTAATGGTTGACCAAAATATGAGCCAATTCCATACCAAACTCTCCCCCGCCAAAAAAAAAACAAAAACATTCAGACTAAGCAGCGTTCTAACTTTGATGCTTCCTGAAAATCCACCCAATGTGGTTTGGGCTATATCTTCCCAGCCAGCAGGCCAAATCTTGGGCTGAATAAAGAGCTCTTTACTCTTATAAGTACTGCAGCCTGGGGGTTCTTTGTCTCATCCAGAAACTGCCCCTCAGCAATTTGTGATCATGGCTGAAAGATTTTGATTTTGAAATTGCAAATTGTCATGAAAAGGCGAGACTGACCTACTGTGGCTCTGGTTTTTACACAGGCTTCCAGGATAGCTCAAGTGATTTCCAACTACAGGAATGCCACGTACAGTTGTGCTGGTTGTACACTGCACAATTCTGGGGGTGGGGGGGCACAATTCATGTCATCTTTTGGCATATTTATTACAATAGTTTTCTGGCAGCCAAGTGTCTTGAGGTAGGGTAGTTTTGTCTAATTGGCAAAAAAGGCAATTTATAGCTAGTGGCAGGAGGCATAGGGACAAAACTAGTATCTAATAAATCTTAGGCTAGTGTGTAGGGGTTGGTGGGAGAGAAGGAAGGAGTGGGGAAGGATATTAGGATTTGGGAAAGCTCCTTTGCCCAACCAAAATGGTCACCCATGAGATAAGAAGTGTTGAGATTTGGGGGTTCAAGTTTCAGCCTCTTGGGGCCCGTAGGGTATCGGGGAGGCAGAATTAGGCCAACAAGGAGAAGCAGACAGAATTAGCCACAGATTTGCCCTAAAAGGTCAAAATCTAAGCGCTGACTTTAGTAAAAGTATCGGGTTGTCGGAAAAGTCATGACGTATTTTTTCTATGTTTCTCATCACAAAAATGTGTCACGACTTTCCCGACAACCCAATAAATGATGGCCCTTTGTGGAGAGATCAGGATGAAGAGAATGAGTGAATATCTAAATAACAATTCTATGGTACCAGTGCGGATGAAGAGCAGGGGTGAGGAGAATGGGAGAAGGAGGAGAGGAAGGAAAAGGAACAGTGATTGACACAGAAGCGCACGGTTGAAGTGAAGGGGAATTCCACCCCACTTCTGATCCCTCTGGTTCTGAAAACCTACGTTAGTCATGAATAAATATCATAATTCATAGCAACAGCACCGCCCCTGAATGTCAAGGTGGAGGACATGATGGCTTTTTATTTCGGATACTATAGACTGCAAAATCTTTACAGTTGGAACAATGTTCTCCATTTTGCATTTGATTCCGAAACAGAATCCCCAGCCAAGCACAGCTTTTTGTTTTATCTATGTATCTTCCAAGGTCTCCTTCGGCAGCAAGCATGTTGCTTTTGTTCTTGGCTTGCTGTTTTAAGTATAACTTTGCTCCATTTCCATTTTCCCTACAATTCAAAATAAAGTACACATTTGAATTAGAGCAGAGAAATACTGAATGAAATGAAGCATTGCTTTCCCCATCTCAAACAGGGAGAGGTCATGATTAGTGATAGCTCTGACAGTGATTAATGCCTCGCGTTTTCACTTAGAGACCTCCAGGAACTCATAAACAAATATTTTCCGAAATTTGAAGGTGAGAGGAGGGGGTGAAGTGGCTCACACAGGATTGTCTGATTGCAGTCTGATTCCTCTTCCCCTTCCCAATTATCTCACAAATTATGCTTTGGTGAACAGTACTGGAGCTGTTCATATTTTCAATCAAACTAAAGTCCACTGAAGTAGGAAAATTATGCATTTTACATAAATTATTATTCCGTTTTTAACAGGGGTTTTCCATCACTTTGCTGTGCACAATGTAATATGGTTAATTTACCAGAAAGCATTGTTATTCATTCCCTAATTCTCTAGGCAACTGCTGCCACTTGCTCACCATTTCCTCTCTGCTCTCTGGGAATTGACAGACCTTCCAGCTCCATTTAAGGTGGCTTGGAGTAATCTCTAGAGGCTCCGCCTCCCTCCTGGTGTCTTCCAGGGCTCAGCCCTTGGGAGGAGTCTAAAAATGAAAGATTTCACATACCTGGATTTAGTTTATAAGTGGCTTTACATGGATCCTTTTCTAAACACACCCCAAAACCAAAAAGATTAAAATCTCTTGCTATTTAGTAATATTTCCCCATAGTATTACATGTAAGCTTTTCATTAAAAACACTATCTGATTATACCCATTTCCTTTCTCTTGCTTCCAATTAGCGACTCATTGATTATTACAAAGCAAGCACTTGATAATTAACCAAAGGCAAAAAAATCCAAAACAAAACAACCAGAATGCCTTGCAACTACTAGTAAATAAATACCTTTTTTCATGAGTTTACATAGTGCATGATGATTGAAGCAAATAGCCTAGTACATGGAAGGAGAGGAATGACAATGGGTTCATAAATGGGAGAAAAACTCCTACTAATCATCGTTAACAGAGGTAGTGAGGAGTTGTTACGGGCTTCCTTCCCAGCAATTCTTTCATTCTCATATTCTGTGAATATATTTCAAACTACATTCCAGCTGGGACATTGGAGCCAACAACCTGTCTAAAATCTTACTCTCTGTCCTTTTTCAGTATTGTCTATCTTCCAATTAGTATCCCACTAATCAGAATAAATGATGCAGCTATATACTTGTGTGTGTGTGTGTGTGTGTGTGTGTGTGTGTGTGTGTGTGTGTGTATAGGAGGGGGAGAGATAGATAGATAGATAGATGTTGATTTTCAGAGTTATCTTGGTGTGATTTGATTTTTCTTCATTTAGATGCATTTGCTGAGTATCTTCTATATTTAAAGCATGAGCTAGCCCCTAATGGGGGTTGAATATTGAAGGAAACACATCCAAAGGCAAAACCATTAAGCCTACCATTAAGCAGTACATAATCTACTTGTCCTTTAAGACTGAGTTTAGGCATCACCTCCTCCAGGAAGTCTCCCCTGCAATCCCCATTTTGGGCTGGACGGCACTCTTTTGCTACCACCTGTGCTTCCACCTTGTAGACCATCTCTTATAGGTCTCTATCCTCACTGGACTGGGAATATTAATTGTCTCTTTGACTTTCTAGTGCTAAGCCCAGGGTCTAGTTCCATAATGAGTATTCAAAAAATGTTTGGAGAACAAATGAATGTCCTTACACATATCCACAGTCATACCCACCGTAACCCCATCGCCTTGAACAGCCTTGGCAAAGGACTCCTCTCATGCCAGCTCTGGTTTCTTCCTCCTTGTCCACTGTCTCCATCCTGTCTATTCCCATTTGCTGCCATCTTGGACAAACAGGGTGACCTGGCCAGACCTGCACTTCTAGACAGTTCTGGATGGATTTCCTCTTTCCACCATCACACCTTCTTGTCTTCTGTCCCATTCTCAGTCAGGGGGATGTTCCTTGCTGGGTGAAAAAAGAGAATCAGATAAGACAATCCAAATCATTGGGGGTTAATGTTACCTCTCCCAACTACAGTATTTTTGCATTAGCAGTAATATTTCATGGACGGTGTCTTCATGCTATGCTTCTCTAGCAGGGCACAGGAAACCCCTGGTCATGCAGAGGCGTCCCCTCATGCAGGGACACTACAGACTATAGGCCAGTTAGCAATGCAGAGCCTAAAGGTCTGGGAAAATAATTTTCTATGAAGACAAAGATGAATATCTTAGGAATACAGTATCACATTTTCATAAAATTAGAAAGTTAGAATGAGATCTTGAAGGCCTCAGGTCCCAGAGGATCCAAGTATATTCCCACTGGTGTTGGGATGAGTTAGGGGGAAAGGTTTGGGAAACATGGTAATCTCTTCAGGCTATAAACTGGGTCTTCAAATCATGTGTTAAAGGCTGGTAAGCGAGCACACGTTCACAGCAGTCAGGGCTCGTGCCTTGGGCAGCTCACAGCAAAGCCAGGTGTTCTCAGCAGGTGTCTTAGGGAAGTGTGTCATTTGCAGGTCAACCATTCACCCTATCGGACAGCATCCTCCATCTAGCCATCAATCCATCCATCCTGCCTCTACCATCGGCTCATCAGTGCTCTAGGTGCAGGGAGAGCAAGTGAACAAGTTAGGCCGTTGGTTCTCAAGGAGCTCACAATCTGGCAGGGAAAACGCACAAAAAGAGGAGCCAGATTATTAAACAAATTATTAGAAGAGTCATAAGTATTCTGGGAAGGAGCATAGTATTCTGGCTGCTGGGGGAGCCATTGTTTGTCACAGATCACATTCTCTTTAGAAGAGCCCCTGCCACACTGGAAAAGCACCTATTCTTATTTTCAGTCCTCAGAATTAATTTTTAGAATAAAGGCATATCCCCCTAGCACTCATGGGATTTTGAATATTTTGCATGTTTGGAAAGAATGAGGTACAATTTAGAAATTTATTATGGAAAATTTCTGGAATATAGGTATACATAAATTATGAAGGTCCGTTTGATATCTTAAAGATATTAAAGGTACTAAATTTTCATTATTTTTTTTTCTCTGTCATCTATTTTGGAGAAATAAAAAGAACATATTATTGGGATCTGCTTTAGTAAATCGGTATTCCACAATATCATTTTTAGAATAAAAATTTGTTTGAACTTCCTTTCGCCCCAAAATTACTCCCTTCCATCCACCCTCCCTCTGTCCTCACCTCCCTACCTCCCTTCCTCCCCTCTCTCTCCCCTCTTCTCCCTCCTTTCTTTTCTTCCTTCCAGCATATATTTGGACAGCCTAATTGAATCCCAACAGTATACTATATGAATATAGTGGTAAGATAGCCAAATAAAAGTCATATAAACCTATTAAAATACCTTTTGGGAACAAATTGACCAAACACCATTTTATCCAAATACAACTTGCTAGGAAATGCCCATTCTGTCAAGTGAGGTTCTCTTGTCCTGAGTCGTGACAAAAGAACAGATGATATCCTCATGCAGTGGGCTTCATGCAGGGCTTCAGCATGAATTCTCCTCTGCATGCTGCTGAAAACCTTACCTTCTTTCAAGACTCATGAAAGAACCATTCCAATTAATATGGTATACATTCTTAAGGTCCCATAGGAAATTTCAGATAAAATTTTGCAGCTCCAGTGCTACTAGAAAAATCCTCTGGTGCCAAGATTTAGCCACAGGAGGATTCCTGTCTTTCTCAAGGCAGGTAAACAGCCTCTGGCGCTTGTCAGGAAATCTTCAGTAGTGTGGTTGTTTTTTTTAGAGATTATGAATACTCTGAACTTTTCTCGTGGAGCTGCCTGGTTCTCCAGTCACCTTTCTTTGATCAAGGCAGAGCCAAATGTATTGTTCACTTTGGTCTACACCCTGATGCCCTCACACAGGGGAGGCCCTGTGTTACTGCGGGCTCCCGGGTCCCCGCAGCCCATCCGTGCACCGTGAATGCAGCGGCCTCCAAGAACGGCGTGAGGAGGCTGCAAGCTGCAGTGAGCATGCGTCAACAGAAACCATGTTGTCACACTGACAATGTCTGAGCTTTGTCAAGTCGTCTTCTCTAGTAGGTTTCTTATTTGACTTTAATAAAGTAAAAAAAAACCCAGTTTATTAGGAGGGCTCCCTATGCAACACAGCAATGACAGGTGTCAGATCTCCCAAGAGGACAGAACAAGTACTTATTCAAAGTTACCAAGGACAAAAAATATTTCACCATCCCTTGCCACTAATGTACCTTTCAAGAGACTTTTCTTTCTTAACAAGAGAACTGGTCAGAGAATTCAGCGTCCTTACCCCACACTGCTACTACTAGTGAGGGAGAGAGGCTTCTTGGGAGGTGTGAGCCCCCTCTCCGGGAGGGGAGGTTTCATTTGCCTGGGCTGGTCTACCTCAAGAATAGCTTTTGACAGCACATTAACTTCTTGGAAGAAAAAACCCCGAACATCGCTGATTTCTTCGTATTTAGAGCTGCTCTTTTACTGTGATTCTGCAACCCTGCTCTAAGTGTTTCAGCACAGTTCCAGCGTGCTGCATTTTGGAAGAGTGCCCTCCAGTGAACCCAAGTCCTTTGTTTTGCTTCATAGGAGAGAGAATCACCATGAACTCAATAGATGAATTAAAGGCTATACTTTGGTTTGAAGAGACTGTTTTTTTTTCCTTAAAGAGTCTGCTTAAAACAGGTTCTTATGACTTCTCAGAGTTTTTTTGAATGACCCAAGTCAAAAACATAAACAAAAATCCTCCAGAAAATATTTACAAATTACCAAACCTAGTGGGATGTGAAGATTAAAAACAAAGTTATCTTTACAAATACCTAAAATGTGTTAATACATTGCCCAGTAATGTGATAATAACTATATGTAATAAGAGCTTTGAAACTTTACCAATTTCAAATTGTACTGATGGTATTAACACCAAAAACAATTCCATAAAGACTTGATTAGCCAGAAAAATCCCTTTGCTTCATCTTTTTAAAAAACCCTTCTTTTGGGAAACTCTTTTGAAATACAAAGGTTATTTCAGCAAGAAAACTCCTCGCATGATTCCACATGACACCAGTGATCTTAGAATCACAGGATCTTTGGTCTGCAGGAACCTACAGCAGATCTTATCCAGCCCCCTCATTTCTACAGACAGGCCTTGAAGATGAGAGATGCCAGGTAGCTGTTCAAGGTTACACAGCTGAGCGCGTGCAGAGCCAGGCGTGGACAGTTCACCCGGTCTTCCCACGGCCCTTTCTACCACACCAGGTTGTCTCCATGCTTAGTAAACTCATGACAGAGGTGGAGGGGGACTAGGACATATTTATCCTGACTCCAGGACAAGAAAGGTTCTCCTTGTAATTGTCTCATTCTCTTTGTAATTGTCTCACCTACTAGTGGGACACAGAAAATTCCAGTTAGAGAAAATGTCTGATAAATTAAAATGTTAAGATATGCCTAGTCTTGTTTTAACCATCCTCTGAATTAGCTAGACAATAGTCTAGCTTTTTGGGTGAAAAAAAGAAAAAAACACTCCAGGTGTGCTGAATGTTTCTGTCATTTGGAAATCATTGCACAATGGTTAAATTCACCAGGTGACTCCTTACCACCTGGTGTGGAACAGATATGTCACCACCAGAGAATACCTTCTATGATTTAAACAAATGAACAAAAAAATTCAAATGTAAAATGCTCTCTTTTTAATTACTAAATTAAGAAAGTTAAACAATTTAAAAATGTAAACTCACAAATAATTCGTAACAAAAAAAGGAATTAAGACTTCAGAGTTTGCTACTCAGTATTAAAAACTCAATAGAAATAGGCTTTTTGATTTTGTGGTTGTTAAACATGTAATTCAAGGTTGGTACAAACAGCAACTAAAAATGTAATACTTTTTTTTTTTTTTTTGGTGCATCCCGATGAATTGTAAAGTAGTGCATAGTTATTCCACTGGAGAACTCTTGGACATATAGAAAGTCATTTCATTAGCAGTACAGGACATTTAAAACACTTATTTTTACAATGGGAAATGTACAACCCCCACCCTCACCTTCCCCATAAGTTTTAGTTCCATGAGAAAGTTTAGCAGGTTGCCATGACTACGATGCTATGGGTTTTAGACCATTTAAATATGGTTACAAGATTTATTAAATAAAAAAGTTTGAAACATTTCAGCATTCATATTTTTATACAAGAAGTTTGTGTGGTATCTTCCAGTTCCCCTGGTAGTATCGGCCCTTTGCTTGCTTAAATATGCTCACTTTTAAGTTTCCAGAACAAATCACAGTAAGTCGAAACAAACACTGAAACAGAACTTGTGAATTCATCTCGGGGGCTGCTGAAAAGAGCCAAAGTGACAGCCATCTACAGGGACAGTCATGAACCAAAAGAGTGCAATCCAAATTAAAAAAAAAATAAAAAAATTCATGCTTTGCAAAAGCCAAAAATGAGGCAACTGGTTTTTCAGAACACCAGTGCTTTTATGTTGATTCTGCAGTAAAATCCTCACTCTGGGTCCTGAAGTTTTGCGGCCCAGATTGGCCAGTCTCCACGTTAGCACCCACATGGTATATGTACAGGGACGTATATATTATATGTATTCATATTTATAAAAAAGAAAAAGAAACCCAAACACCTGTCCTGATTGGTTTTTGTTAAAACATGAAAAAAAATTTTATTGTTTTAGACAAAGAGGCCACTTTTGGAAAATAATACTTTTTTTTTTTTTTTTAGTTGAATCGGATGAAGACAGAGTTAAAATCACATAGGATTTGCATTTTAAAAAAAGGAAAGCACTAGGATTGTTGGCACTGGAGTAACTATTTACACTGAACAGAGATTTGGCCTTTTACGTAACATCGATACAATGCGTTTTCCAAAGTCTGAGAAATAACAAGGTTCTGTCTCATATGCTTCACAGAGGAGGTTCGGATTTGGGGACAAGTGTCATTAATGAGGGCCATGGAAGTTCGTCAG